CTGGAGTTCTGTTTCTCTCTCACCATCTCTCTCACCATTTCAAGTCTCCATAACCTCAAAGTAATGAGTTTACATTTATTTAGGATATATGGAGAGGTTTAAAAATTAACTGTTATTATTTTGTTCACTTTTCAAATAGAATAATTGCATTAAAATAACTACCTCCTCCTTATTCCAGTTATAAACATCATTTTCCTTTTCTAATCTCAGCAGAAAACAAGAGAGGTCATCCAGAAAAGAGCAGTAGTTTATTTTGCATCTCGCCTCTCCGACTCAGTACTATTGTATTAGAGATCTCAAATACCCAGATGTCTGCATCAGGAATATTAAAGTTCTTGTTAAACTGAAAAAATAGAGATACACCTACCCTTTCCAAACAGCAGGTCTGCACAGGGCTAACATCACATGGCAGTGGCCGAGGCAGCCTATTAGTACCACTTACTGCAGATCCAGGTGAGATCACTTGAAGTGAAGGGAGCAAAGGTAATTTTCTGCCACTTATCAGCCTCCTGATCTTAGCAGCGATTGGGGCTGAATAGCATAGAGGAGTGAAAGTTACTCTAATGTGTGCAGGCTGTGATTATTCCTAAGGCTCTGCCATCTGCAGAGAAACCCTCCTCTCCCCTTCAGGGCTTCTTTCCTTTCTGTGCAGCTCAAGGGGAGCAGCCAAGGCCGAAGGAGCTGGCCTTGAGTCTTGCCCTTTCCAGTGTTTACAGTGGTGAATGAACACACAAGCATTTAGCAACAATGCTAATTTCTTGTCTTCTTTGGCAACGTAACACTTTGTTGCATTCCCAAAAACTCCATATATTTCTTACACTCGTAGCATCCATTTTCTTGTCACAGACTGGCGTGGCTGCTGCGAAGGATTTGGCTGCACACTGGCTGTTAGTGTCAACAGCTGTCGTGCCGCAAAAGCTACCTTTGACTCTTTTATTACAAGTCCTACGCATGTCTGGAGTTAGGCTGAGGGAGACAGTTTAGGATCTGTGGTGTGCTCTTTGCTTGCACGTATAGAAATATATCTTACTGTTCTGCACCACCAAGTGGCCAGATTGAGCAGATATTGCAAGACACCTTTGGATCCAGGCTTACTGCATTAACCCAGATGGGTTTGGTTATGTTATGGAAGTTTGTACTGGCCCAAACTAGCAACTAGGAAAAAAAAGCTTTTGAATATAAAGCCTCATGTTTTGAAAGAAGGAAGTGTCGCATTTTCTCCGGCATCCCCTAAGGTGTTCCTGAAGGTGTATTGTCAGAACTACTTCAGTTCTCATGTCAAACAAAGCTCTTTGGTGGGCTATCACCTGAAACTCAGGCATGTTTTAAGTATTGTGAATTAGTAATTCAAAACTGACAGATGGTTCTGTAAATATGAGGCCAATATTTCTGTATATCACATGAAGTGATTGTGTCAGAAGTAGGGAGAGAATGCACATATCTTTGTTCTTTACCATTAGAGTTTAATCCCAATATCTCCAAAAACTGTAAAAAACCCTATGGCATTTCATCCAGAAAAATGCATTACATGCTCTAAATGGGAGCTCTTTTCCCATTCTTTTGCACCCTATGTTCCTTGTGCTCAGGAAGGTTCAAAGTTGAACTCTTAAGTGGTCACTCTAGAGACACAAATCAGAGCGAGGTCTGTTGCTGGCCAACATCACTTGTCCAAAATCTCCACATGACGTAACAGCTGATCCCAATTGACCTGCACTGAAACCTCTTCCATCCAGCTCTTCACAAGCTCCCAGGACCTGCGGTTGCAGAAGATGGGAAGAAGGACCTACTCTGACCCTTACATGCTGCTGAAATGCTAATATGTCGTGTATATACTATCCTAAGTCATATATAGTATACATAATATGCTAATATGCTGTATTTCATACACAGCCGTGTTGATAACATGATGAGAGAAAAAGATGTTAATGAGTTTGGTCACTGGCTGAGGATCTTAAGTAATACTTTCACAAATAGTATTTCTTTAAATAATATTTTACTGAAGTCTCATTTCAGAGTGTCTCATTCACCCATAAGTCTCTTACTGAAAGTCTTTGTTACCTGGATTTTTATGGGCCACATGGATAGGTACTCTCTGGGTGTCAGGAACTCAGCTCAGTGCTTTATGCCTTCAGTATTTCAGCGGGAGCCTGCCTAACCTGCCTAAATATCTCAATTGGTCCTTTGGTTTCTGAGTGTTTAGGTCGCTAAATATTTTTCGGTGCCCAGCTCTGTAACCATATTCAGACAGCGTAATCTCACCTGTGTCCCTGCGTCTGGAAATTCATAGTTCCCAATTGCATGTGTTACTTTGGTTCTGTGAACAGAGCTTTGGAGGCCTTCAAAGAAAACTCTGTGTCTTGGGCACATTTGGGGTTGGACGTAGGCCATCCACATAGAGCCTTAATGCTTGTGTTTCTTTTGAAAGTGGAATTTTTTAGGTCCCTTATAAGCCCCAAGGTCACAGTAGCAAGCATCGGTCCTGACCTGTGTGTGCTCCCTGATGGCTGAGGAACGGAGAAGTAAAATTGGGATGGAGGCACTCGAAAGGCTCGGAGGGGTTTTATGTATGTACCTCGCCATTCCTGATGTAATGCACGGCAGTACGGGAGAAATCTAGCAGGGATAAAAGCAGATGTTGAAAAACTAAACACGAATGCTTGAAATGTTCTTCTTCTTATTTAAATAAGAACAAATTAAGAGGAAAGAATAAAGAGGAAAGGCGTTTGTCTCGAGTGCAACGATGCCTGGAGACCTCTGCCACGATCAGAGCGACATTATGCGAAGAATTAGCAAAAGATTGTGCCAGGAGGACTCGCACACCAAATAGGTAAATCAGTCAAATATGATGGTCAGCATTTTACAGCTGATGCTCAGAAACACAGAGAGATGAAGCGACTCGTCTGAGAATTGATTCCAGATTTGCCCAGGGCTCTGCGCACATCTCCACCTTCCATAGCAGTGCCACGCTGGGAGAAGAAAACGTTGGCTACCACCGAGGAGCGGGAGGTCACAGGTTGGATGTCGTGTTGTGCTGCCGGTGGGATGGATCCTCGCTTCGCCAGTCCGCGGCCTGCAGTAGGGATGGCAAAGTCCGCTGCGGGTGTCTGTGTACCCGACTGATTGCGTCCCACCCGTGGCAGCTCTCCCGCAGTGGCAGGCAGCAACAGGGCGATGCTCGGGGTTAAGGATTTGCCAGTTTTAATCTTTGAAATAACAGCAGTTGGGGGGTACTAGTTCTATAGGAGCCCAAATTGTAAATGACCACTTGCAAACGTCCTTTGACTCCAAAATAGATGGGGCTTTAGTGCTTGAGAATTGCTCTAAATTTAGATTGAAAGTCCCTTCTTTCTGACAAGGTGGCCTCAGGAGGTCACCATCACTTGCGCCCGCTGCAGTACCAGCTACCGCCATTGCCACGGGAGCTGGAAGCTTTGTAGACCACCTCCAGTAGACCAAAGATACAGAATAACGTGACAGATTTGTCTTCCCCCATTTTTGTGCCGCGTGCTTATTTCCCTTCTATGCCTCAGGACACAGTGACCGTCTTTCCCCAAAACCGTCGCCTGCGTTGGGTCAAGTAGGCCGTGCTGGATGCTTTGCTCACCTTCTCTGTTTCATTCATAGGATCCATATGTCATTCCTGGGATTAAACCCCGGCACCATTTGGAGTCAATGAGGGTTTTGCCAATGATTTTCAGGGCAATGAGGATTTCATCCTTTGTTCATCCTGCGCCGGCTGGGCTAACGATGTTCAATTAGAAACTGCTCTTTGTTCTAGTGCAGTCAAGAGGATTTTTGCCAATGATTTGAATGAGCATTGGATAAAGCTTATGGCTAAATCCAGTCCTTCTGCAGAAATCCACAGATCCTACTGAATTGCTTTTCTCCCAGTGAAATTAATGGGAACTGTATGAGAACATCTAAGGGAAGATTTAGTTCCTGTTTGTAACAATATGTTACCCCCTGATACTGGGCCTGCTTTGAAATGTTTATTGTTAAATCCATGTATTTTTGGTTATATCTCATTAAGAACATAATACAGCCTTGGAAAGTACATTCTGAAAGGGTATTACAACAGGATTGGGATTACTGTTTGTGAGACACTTTTAACTAGGGGGAAATTTTGAATTCAATTTACAGTAATGTCAAAGCACAATTAATATATAGGCAATGATAAGGGGAACATGCAGAAGTACACATTGATAGCACTACATCAACAAATAAACTTTTGGTGCTAGTAATTAGGTACACAAGATTATTATATGTTTAATTGACTAAAGTGACAATTTGGAATTACATCTAGTCACATTTAATTGGATTTGGAATCTCTAGAGGAAAGGAAACAGAGAGCAGTGCGGAGAGGCAGCCATAAAAGCAAACCGATTTTCTAAAGTCTGTTAAGACTCTGCATTAATATCCATTGCACAATAGTTTTTTAATATCCCTCAGTCTAGAAAGAGTAATGCAATGATTGTCACAGACAGTGGGAGTACTAAAGCATACTCAATCAGGTAGCAAGATAGCTGATTACTTTTGGTTTGGAGGGTTTTTTTAAGATATAGTTTAATCAAAAGTGAACTATGTCTGAGTTTGCCATAGACAAGTGATATTCTCAGACTGCCAAGCTACAGGGTGTTATATGTGTTGATGCTGTCCTAGAAGAAATGGACTTACATATATTTTACCCATAAATACCTTGAAGCAAAAAAAAAGAAAAGCCAGACTAAAATATTATATAGCAGTCATTAAATATTTGCTCAGATTAAAATATGAAAAAGCTATTAAAAGAAAATGTAGGGTTGTTGCTTGCAGATAGTTTAATTAGCTCAAAAATATTTACTAATGTTTGTCTTAAAGTTGGACAAAGACTGAGAGTTATGTGTAATCTTTTGATACAAACCTCATGTTACACTCTTAATAGTACCTCCTTTAAATACTGCTATATACATCCTTCTCTCCCTGTACGCTCATACGCTCATTTATTCTGCTTTTGTCATCAGGAGCGCCATGATTGCTGACTATACGTACTGGCTGACAGGAGGCACTGAGCAGCATATAAGCAAGCTCATCAAACTGTATTGGCAGGTAAAAATTGATAGCCCAATGAGGAAGGAGGTGCCCATCTCACTATTAAGACCAAAATGAAAGATTACTGCTTAAAAGACTGGCGACAAAGGTAGCTCTTGGGCATATCAATCAACAGGACACTATATTGTACTACCGTATTTATAATGAAGTAGATTTTCTTGGACTAATTTTAAGGGCAAAATTCAAGGTTGTTAACCCTTGGCTCATACTTCAATTTTATGGACTGCTATAAAATTTAATTCTGGATACTGCACAGTCCCCTAAGCTATTTTTTGTGAAGTCTTGCTACCTTAGTGACACTTTCCTTTCGCAATTTGCATGATACTAATCCTTTGACACCTTTCCAAACTCTTCAACCGGAAGGGGAGGAAAAAATGACTGTAACAAATGGTCTCAGAGGAACCTAAAGTGCTCTGTGAAGGATGGCTGGGTAAGACCTTGGTCTACAAAGACTACTTATGTGGGGAGGAGACCATTGACTTCAATGAGACTCATCTCTTGAGTGATACTTATTTGAGATGGCTGTTCAGCCACATCAGCACAAATTTAAGTTTAAGGGTACCCCCTTCTGCTCTGAGGAGAGCTCTCACACACTTGGAGGTGAATGGATGCTAGATCTTTTGCCGGGAGAGGCTTATTGCTGCAGGATCTTATCACTGCCCGTGGTGTCCCAGCCTCCATGGCCCTGGTTTCCATTCAATCAAAGTGCATTTCAGAGGGACCGCAGCGTTTGGGCCTCAGGCGGTGGAAGATCCTTCTGCCTCCCAGAGTGGACCTGGCCCTGGCCATTTAATGATACTAGGAACAATATATGTCCCTTGCGATTAAATTTCAGGGTCTGATTCTGATCCCATTTATTTTGGGTTTATTCTGTGACAGGTCTACTGTATGTAAAATGGTGCAAAATATGTCTGACATAAGCCAGAGTAATAAAGATCAGAATCTGGTCTTTTACCTTCACTCACACAATAAATTCTTCCTTTTTAAAACTATTATTAGTTGCCTTCTTATTGGTAAAATGGAATAAATTTCAGTCCTGGGAGCTGCTGAATTTCAGTACTGCTGTGAGTGCAAAGTGCATCTCATTCAGAGAATTTACCCACTGGGCTAGTGTTTGCAGTGCCTGTGAACTTTCTTATATGCTTTCCAGCAGAGAATTTCTTCTGTACAGAACAGTTTGATTTTTTTCCCCACTAGGTCAAACTTTTTTAAAATCTTGAGTTCACAAAGAGGTTTTATGAAGGGGTTGTTTCTTGGAATGGAATGTCTTTTTTTGTCTCTTAACACTGGTATCCATTGACTTCCCTTCTTGATGTCATGGACATGAAGCTTCAAAGAATAAACCTTCAAAGGAGGAGCTGTCATAGCTGTCCTCTCCCCCAGAGGTTCAGACTGTCCTGCTATGTAACAGGGCCGAAAAAGTGACATGAAGGACAAGATTCATCATGATGCCTCCTCACAGAGTCTAAATCAGAAGCTGTGGTTGGGAGAAGGTGGGAATGAACCATGCCAGAAGTGGGGCTCCTGAATCGCTTCCAGCCATTAGCGTCATCATAGAATATTAGCATCATCATGCAAAATTATTTTGGCCATGGTAGGAGTCTGGTTCATCTCTGCTTCAGTCCAGAGCTCACAGCTCATTTCTCTTCCTGACAGAGAGTTCATGCGTGGGCCTCCCTGGACCCCCGTGGTACCAAGAGGCACCACCATGCTGTTCGTGCTCCATTCCCACTCCTCCTCTGCCTTTCGTCTGAACCTGAGCAGCTGTCATCTTTGTCTGCAGAAACTTTGAAATGTCAGTAGAGATCTAACCATTTGTTTGATCCCCCACCGTGCTTGATTTTCACTGGGAGACAGAGATTGCTCTGCAATTTTGTGCCTTTTGTGCCTATGCCTTAGCGTGGGCTGGGCTAAGGATTCAGCGGTATCTATATGCTGACACACAGGCAGCAGAGGCAGCTGGGTGCCCAGTACCGCTCCCACTCAAGTTAATAGCTAGCACTTAAGAAACGCTGTTCATGAAGATACATCCCCAGCACCAGTAAGAACCTTTCCCTTCCCGAGCTGATGAGTTCTGTGCACTCAGCATCAGGGGTGACTTCAATGTCGTTAGAGCACACAGTAACAATTATGCAGTACGATGTAGCATGTGACATTGCACTGGGACTTTCCACTACAGAGAGACCAAGCAGAGATAACATAATCTTTTTTATTAATATTCTCTCTATTTCATGGTGTAAAGCTGAAAATAACTTGTCACGACTGTACATGGTCATGTGCCTTTGTAACCAAAGCAACAGCTATTGATGCACGCTTTTCTTGCTAACTACTCCTCTGCCCCAGAACTTGCTAGCGTTGGCTCACAACCGTGAGCAAAATTTTCTGAGGAGGAAGGGAATAGATGATGAACAGGACGGTTTGTTTTTTACTTTTGTGAAGGAAGATTCTTAGGTTAGATATGTCACTCTTTGCTTTGATCCAGTGGGTCATGCATATAATTTTCTGGTGTGTCATTGACTACTTTTGTTTCTTCTTTTCATGATTCTTTTAACTGCTGGAAAAGGCTTTTCCTCCTCACAGCCTGTCTTCTACTTCTTTCATAGCTTCAAAAGGTTGTACAGACCACTGGAATCCTTCAGCTGATGTCTTTACTGCAAAAAATTCAGACCCTTAATTCACATCTGCAAAGCTCTTTGTTACTTATCCTTCTGGTTTTTCTCTCCTGATCTAATCTCATGCTCAGAGGAGTCTTTAGCTTGTATCTCCTTTGGTTTTCTTCTCCCGATTTTGGTTTTATGCTTTCCTTTGAACTTCTTCTATCCCGGACATCAACTGCCAGGAGTCCTCTTTCTTCAAAACTCTTTTTAAAACATCCTCAAATCCCTTCCCTCCCCATTATTACCTTTTACATATTCCTTCTTCTTCAGCAGTGATTTGTTCCATGTGACTGTGTACCTCCTCTTAGGCACACTGCAAGGTTTGTACTGTCAGATTTTTAAGGCCAGATGGGCTCATATTGACTAATTATCTGCATTCCACCCCAGAATTGCACCCTTACCTTCCTGCATCGGTGCCAAAAGAGGAAAGCAGAGACTAATTTTGAGAAAGTTATGCAATCCCCATTTAAACAGTTTAATAATAGAATATTTACTATAGCCCATCTAAAAGATGATTTGTAACATGGTTGTCCCTTGTTTTTACCCCAGTTTACAAGCTGGGATCTTACCTGTCCAGTCCAAACTTCCAGCAATTGGTATTATGCATTTTTCTGAAAGCTTAAAGATCCTTTAGTACTTGTTATCTTCTCCCTGTGTATGTACCTATGGATCATGATCAAGGCAACTTTAAATATTCTTTTTGATTAGCTTTTTGATTAGCTTTCTTTGATTATCCCCTTTAAAGTAAATCATCTATTTCTGGATCTTCTATACAGTGATATGTGATATCTAATGCCCTGTGTTGGTTTTGAATATTAATACCCGCCTTCCATTCCACTCTTGAGATAAAGGTATAATGCTGATGAGAGGTGAAAAAGTGATTTGCAATGGATAATATTATTCAGTAAGTTGGGCCTTTTTCTCTGTTCAAATATTTTATTCCATGGATTGAAAATATCCATTCCAAGTTAAGACATAATCAAATGGATGGGCTTTTTTTCATAACCCACTACAGAATATGCACTGGATGATTTGTGTATTGGCTGTTAGATTAAAAATAGGTGAGTTAAATAGAATTCATTACAATAAATAAAAATGTGAGAGTTATTACATGTATTATGGTAGATGTTTGAAGAGTGGTAGCAGCAAGACAAAGTTTAAACCTACTTATTATTACAGTCAGGTCAGCTCCCCAGCATTTATTGTCAGCAATGCAATTTCTCAGCTGGTAATAGCAAAACAAACAATAGACTTGAGATATTTCATCCCATAGAAAGAGTCCCTCTCCAAACCGTCCAGTTTTACTCACACCTTTGTAAACTATTTCCACTGGCTAGAAACTGTGCGATATACTCTGGATGTTTCATGCCATGAGTAAAAACATATCATACCCATACTACAATGTCAAAAGTGCCCGACGTTGTCGAACATGAACTTTGCAAATATCTTGAAAGTCGCAGCCTGATTTCACCAATATCTGGCACAGCCATCTTAGCATAAAGTGCCTTTATTACCTAATTTATAAGCATCTCAGGCTTAACTCATTAGCACACTACGAATTCAATTGCTTTTATTATTCCATTGTGAAAACCATGTGGCCTATTTTATACTGAAGGTTCGGCTCTAGCAGCCGTTACCCGCTTACATCCAAAGTCAATCCCATCTAGCCAAAGTCTTACACTAAGTGCCGTTGCACCAGCAATGCATACGTTGCAGAAACTAACAGAACCCCAGGAAAGCATTTCAAAACTTGTAGGTTCGTATCTGTACACTTCCATAACCATCTGTACTCCCAGCCTTAATTCCGTAACGTAGCCAATGTGTATTTGCTAGAGCTCAAATGGAGACCTTTAATTTGCATTGGAGCAAACTGGGCTTTTAGCTTTAGTTCCAGTTCAACCCCAGTGTTTTGGCCAAGGTTGCAGCCATCACAGAGCTGCTCTTAGCACATTGGAAACACTGGCTCTGTGACTGCTGCATGCAGAGCTCACAAACTTGTGTTTCTGAGAATATTTCTGTCAGCTAAACTCAACGTCACAGAGAAAGCTTCCAGTAGCACATGCATTGGCTGACATGGAGGTTTGGGTATTCAGACGTTTGTTTTCTCTCTCGTTGCTGTTATGAACATCAGGTGCTTCCATTTAAAAAATCTGGACTGTTGCAAGCACACAGCAATACACGCATCACACAATTAAAGCAAATGATAACCCAGCCCTGCAAGGTGGCTGAACACCTACGGCGCAGAGATGAACGCTGTCAACTCCTTTAGAGCTCAGCTTCATCTCACACCTTGCGGGGTGACAATCCAAGGCAAGAAAGTTAAAAGGAAAAAGCTCTTGG